GAGGGAGATTTTTAGACAAAATGAAAACCCTATATATTGCAAAGGTTAAAGTTTTCCTAATGTCACTGTTAATTCTACCAGCTTTCAGTGCACATGGTCAAAAGAAAGACTGGCAAAAGATTAAATCTATGCAAAAATAAAATAAAATAAAAAATCCCAGTAGCAATATTTCATTTTGAATGTTGGTTAGATCTATAGAATCTACCTACTTGCATTATGCTGTATGAACCAATTCATATAAAAAAATTAAAAATGAGTAAAGAAATTTCTTCTGACCTTGGTAGGTCAGTCAACAACTGTGACTCATTTTATGACTGCGACATTTGTTGGTTAAAAAAAAGTGTGCAGAAACCTATCTGTACTTTTAGCTTTATTGTCCTGGATTCTTCCAGAGGCAGCCATTTTCTTCAGTCTTGAGGACTCATGATAAAATGTGCTTGTCTGATCAGAGTCAGGATAGAAGCATGCAATCTGAGTTCCACCTTCTAACACTTTTCATGCTTTTGATTCTTTCTCATTTTTCCTGTGGACACTGAGCAAAATCCCATTCAAGATGCTTTGGTGTGAGATTCCTGTAATGGGATGGGATTCCCCATTGGCCCTCTCTATTTAATAAACAGAGTTTTCCTTTTTTGTCCCAGCTACCTCTGCCTTATTTCTGTCTGTGAGTCCTTTACTTATTTGAACCTGTCTGTGAACTGACTCCATTTCTTTTTAGCCTGCAGTAGCCATTATTATGTTTATTTCAAGTTGGTTTACTTAACTATACTGAAGTCTCATCATGCAATCTTTGGGTTGCGGCATGCATCAAAACTATAAAAGCAAACTGAAGAGGAACCAAAGCTTTCCCGCTCCACACCCCAAGCAGTGACCAGTAAGTACCACCTCATTGTAGTGAAAAACAGTACACAGGATATACACTCTGTAAAAATAAAGAAATTTCCTGCCTCCAAGAGAGTGTATGTGTGGAAGTCATGTAAAAACCCCATACATAGGGGCACGACATAATGTGGCATCTATATAATTCTACTCCGAATTCTTAAGGAAAAATGGATTGTATATACCATCTGATAATGCATATCCCAAACAGTTAGACAGACTTCTTTCTCTCTCTTTGAGGATAATTTCTGGAAGGTGTCCATCTGTCTAAATGCCAGAGCTATGAGAAGGAGATGAAAAAGTAGCTTTCCAAGTATCCTTAATGGAAAATTCTTCACTTTGGCACATGATAGATGTGTTTGGGCTACAGTTCCCAGAATTCTGACACAGCAAGAGGAATTCTGGGAAATGGCATTCAAACATCTCTGGAAGGCACCAATCACAGGAGAGTTCTGTGTGGATAGAATATAGCTTACTGGGATTTCAGTGTAATTATAAAGAGCACAGCTTCCTTCCTCTGTTCAACTAAGCATCAACATATGCCTTCTTCTACATTTTTCCTTGAGATTTTGTCTGTCTGCTGATTCCTCCAGAGATTTTTGCACAAAAAAGAGGCACGTTTTTTGTGAGATGGGTGGCCATACAAATTTGATAAATATAAATAAATAAATAAAATAAATAAATATCACGTGACACAAATAAAAAGGGGTGGGTTTTGATCGTGCAGCCTCTATGTTGACTTTTTGACTTCCACCCCAGGACTGCATCGTTATCTGGATAGGCTCCTGAGCAGAGATCAGCATAATTCAGAAAGGAACCATTTATTGGCATTAATGCCAGAATGACACTAACAAATTATAGATCCTCTCTTCTGTGAAACTGAAATTATTGCAAAATATCTGACTTAAGAAAGTCTTCTGGGGCTAGTTAGGAGGAATCTTATCTCAGTTATTGAAAATATGCTGTTATTGAAATCATGTAACCATCATTAATCGAGTAACCATCCTACTTCATTCATGAGAATTTAGAGACTCCATTTACAATGCTTCAGTGTTGTCCCATTAATTCTTCCCTCTTTTTTTTAATGCCAAAAAATTCTCTTCGGATTTTTCTTTTGGGTTTATAAAGAGTTAAGACCCTCCCTCTGGAAACATGCAGTAATTGTGTTCATTCAAGACACTTAGATTTGATCAGTTAATTCCTAGCATTTAGTACTTGCATTTGCACAGCATCCTAAGCTTAGGTGGGAATTTTTGATGACTTAGTGTGATTTATTTATTATTTATTACAGTTTTTTGTATCCCAACTTTCAGAAAAAAATCCCCCTAAAGTGACTGACAGGCAATATAATCAACTGTAAATAAAAATACAGTGAAAACTGAGAAACAAACTTATATATAAGATCCTTCCATCAGAGTTAGTTTTAATGGCTCCGATATTACAATAATCAAAGCAAGAGGGAAACAGGCTCTTCTTGGGTTCTTATGTTCCTTTGTAGGTCCATGGAAACTGCAACAAGGAAGAAGTATAATAGAACTTCATAGAAACAAAATAGTAATATTCCAATGTTGGAACTTAAAGATGTTAGGAAAAGAGAGGAAGGGAAAGGAAGCTTTGCAGTACCATGGACTGACCTACTTGATCTTCTCACTACACAATTGGCTGAGTGTGGTTGCATAACCAGTATGGTACTGTGGGTGCTATAGTGTTAGGACAAACATTTGATACAATGCTTTGCCTTAGTGCTTTGTCAGTGCTGTGATTTTAACTTGATTCAAATCTGGTCAATTTTCTTTCATTTTCTTTTGTGGGCAGAAGAGAGGAAAGCAAGGGGAGGATGCTTCACCCAGCCTGGGCAGAAAGTGGAAGTGTCTCCAGTGGGAGATGTTAGGGTTGAATGGAACATGAGCTTCTAGGATTGAGGACAGTCCATTGACTTAATGGGCCATTGTTGGATCAACTGAGAGATTATTAAAAAATGCAGAGAACATAGCAGCCTGGCAGCCACTGAAAGGAAGGAAATGTTCTAGGCACTGCAGCCAACTGGAGCTGGTGCCAAATGGTTACTAAAATGGGCCAAAGCACTGGAGACATCTGTTCTAAGTGGCTTAAACACAGTTTTGAATTGCAGCTGGAAAATATGGGTGAGGGATATAGTTGCAACAGGTTGGGAATAGGATGGCTTTATCTGTTCCTGGACTCAGGAAGTAGTGTGTGTCCCATATCGGTGATGGGGCGAGCAGAAAGTGTAGATCTGCTCTCAGTCTGTTAGCTGTTGGCTGGGATGCAAAAGAGTTTGTTACCAGGCTGGCTGGCTCTGGGTGCTTCTGAAGAAGTTGGCATGACTTCTGGGCTCTGCCTCATTGCTCAATTTTTGGTTGCTCAAGCATCTGAAGCAATGCCTGCTTTTCTCCAGGCTCCCAGTCACCCACTGCACACTGGCTCCAGTTGCCTGTGCATTCACCAAGATAATTTTGTCCTGATGACTCTTATTTCCCCCCTCTTTCATCTGCAACCTTCTCGTCAACATAGAGATGCAACCTAGCCTTCCAACATGGGTTGTGCATCAAATGAGTAAGGAAGTGTTTAGAAGAAAATGGCAACCAATTCAAACATTTAAGGTAATTTATATAATAAATTGTCTATATGGCCCGACTTTTGCTATACCACGTATAACATATTTCAGTTACCCGAGTTTCCAGCTTCATGTACCTGTGGCCCTGAGAAATAATGGTTATTAGTTTGTCTCTTGAAATTTGAAAATTTCTTTTACGTATTTGCATTCAAAGTGTATACAAGACTGGCTGTGCCAGACTGAGTAAATAAAAGGGGCAGCAGGGAAATCAGCAATATGTAACCAAAAAGAAAAACAAATTATCCATAAACATTTAAGGGCATAATAGCTTAAGCATTGATCTGACTACTTAGATCATGAAATTATATTATTGGGTATATAGTGACCACTAATGTAAGAACAGTGCTTTGTGTGGTTTATACACATTTTAAAAAGCTATAAAGAGTTCTCAAATAAATTAGTTCCCCAAGGAGAACTATAAGATGTTCTTGTTCCAGAGGCTGGAAGTGGATATTGTAGGGCTAGTCCATCCAAGGATGCCTGGGGACAGGCAGTTATGTTTTGATCTTAGTGGATTCTGTCACCCAGATTGATGCTGAATCTGCGAATTGGGTCTTAATGGACTTGTTTGTTAGGAGAGGATTGCCAGCTGAAGGTCTTGCAGTTGCTGGTACAAATTTCATGTCTGGAATGACTGAAGGTGGATATTTCATAGAAGGGCCAGGGCAAAAGTCAGCAAAAGAAGAGTCACCTTGGGGAAGTTTGAAAGTCCACCACTATTTATATTCTTATTGATCCAATCTACGTAGAAAGGCACTGATATATACACGCCAGGTTGGTCAGGTTCAGCACAGCCTTCCCCCCAACTCACCACCCCAGCCAGTGTCCAAGCTCCACCAGAGTTGCAAACTAAGGGCCCTCCGGAATCACCCTGTGGAGAAAGAAGAGAATGAGCGTGAGTTACCTCCTGATAAGAAAGTCTGGGAGGAATAGGAATAAGGTTTGAGCACATGTATTTCTTTCTTGTATTCCCTATTTCAATTTAAACCCACCACTTTACCCACAGAACACTCTAGACAAGGAACTGTCACAGTGCAATACAATTATTTGCATGCAGGAAGACCTAGATTGAATCCCCATAATATCTGGGTCGGGTTAGGGTTAGGCTCCCAATTTCTAAAGAAAGAAGCAAAGCTGCCTCTTGGCTTTGCTTCTGGGCTGGCAAAGAAACCTCTTCCAGTTACTGGATGTGCTGGGGGATCTCCTTAGAAATAATGCAAAGCAGTGCCTCTCAATGAGGCACATGGCACTGATGCTGCATTTCAGTGAACCGAACATATTGTGTCTCTGGTGCAAAGCACCTCGAGGGAAAACTCAGTCATCTTTCCCAGGCTTAATATTTAGAACTCTTGTCCACATCAGGGGTGCACTGGGCAGTAAACATATGAGGAAACCTTATCTGAAGCCCAGTGTTTGGCCAGCAAGTGACACACGAAGCCATGTGTAAGTTTGTCCATCTCTGTCTGTTTCACATGCACTTAATTCTTGGAAAGAGCTGGTATGCAAAACACCCAGAACATTTCCAAGTGTTTTTTTTGAGCTCGTCTATACAGGTAGACCTTGGGTTATGATAGCATTTGGGACTGGGATTGCCATCAATAAGTGATACACTCGTAGAGTGCAACGCCATGTGACTGTATTGCTTATCAACAGCAATCCAGGCAGTCCCAGTTGCCCAAGATGCATGGGTCATTGAGAAAGAAGTGGGGGGAGTCCCAGGTAAGGCATATAGGGGTGCCACGGAGGAGTGGGGGGATGCTGTGGGAGGGAGGGGAGACCTTGGGAGGGCTGGTGCAGGCCACACGTGAGTTGGGGG